CTAAGACACCACTAAGTCCTGAAAAGCATCCTCTCCAAACTTGCTAAGGATTAGAAAGTAGTACTAGTTCTTGCCTCCCAGCATTTCCTTCCCTCCCCTCCAAAACTTTGGTATATTGTCACATAAACCTCAATTTTCTTATATCATACCTGTCTATTTTATAAAACTGTGCCAGGCAATTTGGGCAGTTGAGGGGGTAGAGAGGGACTAAACAACTTCTCAACAGTATTCTGCCTTAGAAGTAAATTGCAAAGATAGGCTGGATCACTGCAGGTGTTTGGGAGAAAGCAGGACTGAAGTGACTGACAGTGGACTGAGAGGCTGACCTTTAGGAGTATGCCCACAGTCAGTGTACTAGTTTGCTAGGGCTGCAATAACGAAGTATTGCAGACTAGGTGGCTTAAACAACAGAAATTTATTTCCTCACAGTTCTGGAGGCTGGAAGTCCAAAATCAAGGTGTCAGCCGGCTTGGTTTCTTCTAAAGGCCTCTCTCCTTGACTTGTAAGTGGTCATCTTTCCCCTGCGTCTTTTTTTTTTAAAGATGACTGGTAAGGGGATCTCACCCCTTGGCTTGGTGTTGTCAGCACCACGCTCAGCCAGTGAGCCAACCGGCCATCCCTATATAGGATCCGAACCCATGGCCTTCGTCTTATCAGCACCGCACTCTCCCGAGTGACCATGGGCCGGCACTCTCTCTGAATCTTTACCTTGTCTTCCCTCTCTCTGTGACTTAACTGCCTCTTCTTATGACACCAGTCATATTGAATTAGGGCCCATCCATGTGACCTCACTACACCTTAACCACCTCTTTAAAGGCCCTATCCCCAAATAAAGTAACATTCTGAGGTACTAGGGGTTAGGACTTCAACACGGTATCTGAAGGGACAATATCACAACAGGGAAAGGGATAGGAAGAGGGAGTGATTGTGACTATGGAGGGATGAAAACATACTCAGCATTGCAGGGGAAAGAAAATTTCACCTATATTCTTCTATATCTAGAGTTCCCCACTTCTTCCCTCTGTCTCTGAATCCATTGATGCCAAGCTGTAATCTCATTTCTGTTCTGAAACCTTGCTGATCATCTCAGTCTCAATATTCTTCTTGTCAATCCCAAATACAGAGCACTTACTATCTATACCACCCATGTGGCCCTTGTGGTGGTTCTTGATGCCTTGTACATTATTGCACTTGAGGCCTTGTCTTGTGTCACTCACTATCCCTGTGGCTTGCTTAGTTCACACTTACCTTCTGTCAGTTCTTCCTAGGAGCCATGCTCCCTCCTGCTATATAGGTCAAGACCTTTAATCCCAAGGTCTTTCAACCTCAGGATGCCAGTTCAAATGTCCCTTCCTAAAACCCCCTACACATACATATTTACCCTCACAATAAACACAGGTCTTCTCCTATCCTCTCCCCTAGCTCTCTGCCATACATATCAGCATTGTTATTATTTTATTAATGTGTCTCTCCTATGAGATTGACCACATATTCAAAAGTTCACAAGCAGAATCTGTATCTGGTTTGTCCATCGTTATCTATGCAGCAGGTAGTATGGTGCCTGGTCCCTTGTAAGTGCTTAATAAATGTAGTCATGCCTCGCTTAACAACGGGGACACACTCTGAGAAATACATCAGTAGGTGATTTCGTTGTTGCATGATCATCATAGTGTACTTCCACAAACCTAGATGGTAGAGCCTACTACACACCTAGACTATATAGTACAGCCTACCGCTCCAACCACCATCATATATGTGGTCATTGACCTAAACGTTGTTATGTAGTGCATGACTGTACTTGTTAAATAAAGGAAAGAATAAATAATATGTAAATTAGTGTAAATCAGTGGTCATTTGCTCTATTCTTGCTGAATAAAATCACTTTGAGATAGAGACAGAGTGAAATCATTAAGTAACGATATCTAGATAAATACATGCACAGATATTAATAGATCTTAAACCAACATAATTACACATAGAAAGCAGAAATTTAAGGCCGGCCCGTGGCTCACTCGGTAGAGTGCGGTGCTGATAACACCAAAGCCACGGGTTCGGATCCTATATAGGGATGGCCGGTTTGCTCACTGGCTGAGCGTGGTGCTGACAACACCAAGCCAAGGGTTGAAATCCCCTTACCGGTCATCTTTTGGGGAAAAAAAAAGAAATTTAGCTATTCTATTAGGTCACAATTTCATAGGAACTATTCAAACATGTTTTCCATATCTAATTTAAACACACACACAGGAGGGTACTTCAAAAAGTTTGTGAAAAAACAGAATTAAAAGATAATACAAATCTTTCTATGAACTTTTGAAGACCCCTCATATATACATATATAAGTATTTTATCTCCTGCAGATACATTTTTTTAGTCCATTGAAACAGGTATCTGCAGTCTCCCTCTCCCTGTGGCTCATTCCACTGCCTGACTTTGGTCTAAAATCAACAGGAATTCTTTGCTTGAGGTAAAGAACTGGCAGATTCCCATGATGACTCCAACCCTCTTCCTTTTCTCTTTCATATTAGGCAGGAAACACTAAAATTCTGGGAACAAGATGTGTGTCATATTGGAAATGTTTGAATCTGCTGATAACATTCAATCTACCTCATCTAAATGCATGAGGAAGCCACATGGTCACAATCTAATGGAACATAGAACATAACTAATAAACTGAAGCAACATTCCACATGTTATCACTTTCAGCTTTGCACATGTGGAAACAGGCTCGTTGTACCACTTGGTTGTGTCAGGGAGGAGGACGCACGTTTGGGATTTATTACAGTCACTCACCTCAGAGAAGTGTCCAAAGGAGTGCATTACAACTTCCATGTGGCTGTATGTTACGGACTTTTTATTTTTAAAAATAGTACTTTCTAGAGATGTATTATTTATCTTTCAGGTGCTTGAAATGTTTGCGCAGCCCTGAATACTTGAAAGCAAAAGGTACTAGTAACTGCTAATAAGAAACTATTTTAGATTAGAAAAAAAGCTGTTCTTTTTGTCAAGTATTGCATCATTTGTATCAACTCAGACTACTGAATAGTTTTATTTGCTTGTTTTTGTTTTCTGCCCTCTCCTAGCAAAGTAACAGACATATCTTCTGTTTTAATCATCTCAACTATTTTATCCAAGTAATAAGGCTCAAGTTCAACTGAGCTTCTTAGCAAGTAAGTTTTCTCATGCTAAAGAAGAAACATGAAGCATATTAGGAAAATCATATATACCAGAAAAATAATACTAATATGATCAAAATCTCCAAATAATTTACCTAAGAAAAGTGAAGCTCAATTTTGGGAGCTTAGCAGTTCAGACAAATGAGAATTCACTTATGCAGCATGACACAGACAATTTTTATGTTAGAAAGAAAACTTAAAATTCAAAGGACATTAAGTTGAATGCTTGAGTTTCTCCTTAAATTCCTTTTTATCAGTGATCAAACACTCAAGGCATTCCTCACAAAAGGTAAAGCAATGTGTCAACAACTAAAATACTTCTATTCATAGCCAGAAGCTATGGCTTCCCCAGTCTAATTAACAGGGAAACAAAACCCCTCGAAAGATGCAAATCTATCCCTTCATTAAGCTAAGCAGAGCTTGGTTAGGTGTCTCAGAAATTATCAACTTAATCACTGGTTCTGAGGTTAGAATATTCATAAGTCCATATACACTAAACAAAGTAACAGTAAACTCCATAAAACAAAGGAAATCTAAGGAAAGAGCTGTTAGCGGATTAATTTCACAACGTGTGGGCTCCAAATAAGGAAAGAAAACCTCCCTAACCCAAAGTTCTCCCCACTTTAAAAAAAAATTAAATATGAATCAAAAGAAACCTGATAGCCTAGGGATGAAACTCTTCTAGTGATCCAGTTTTCTAGTGATTAAAATGCTTTACATACTTTACATCAAGTGATGTAAATACTTTACATCATTTTAAAAGATGAGCTTGAGAAGGGAACTACTCTGTTACAGCTATCTGATATCCCCATTTGTGAATTTATACTATGTAATGCCATCCAAATGGGTAGTTCTTATATTAAATTAGTCAATTTTGAATGTTTAATATTAATATATTTTTTTAATATTGTCATCCAGGATTAACTGTTCTTTAAAAACAGATTTTTCCAGTTTGGCCAATTATCAAAATTGCTTCTTCCAACAAAAATGGAATTATCTTAATTATCTGATTCCATGACTACTTTTAATTTTTACCAAAATGAGAAAATCACACTTCATCAGAGCCATCATTCACAACATAATTTATTTTTATTTGGAATACCTTATCTTCTAGAAATTTAAGTTGTAAACGTTCAAATATTTAGCTTCACCTAAAATTATTTCAGCCCAAATCCCAAGAAAAATCATTTTGATGGAAATATTCCATTTCACTCCCTGGAAAGCCTAACGTAAAGCTAGATGCTTTAGTGTAGTCCTAAGTGACTTTTTGTTGCTATAGCAACGAAACTCTGCTACCTGTGGCCATGATTTGTTAAGAATTCCTCCAGCCAGTAAATTCTGTGCTGTGCATTCATAAAACCAATAGAATGAATCTAAGCAACACAAAAATTAAGGTCTGATTTCCTACCTATGATTTACTCACACATATTTACAACATATATACACATTTGTACACACAAATGCATAATTATGACCCTCCCAACTCCATCAAAAGGGTAAAACCATACCAAACTTACATTTTAAAATGGGCATCAAAAAACTGCTGTGTTTTAGATTTCATTGGATAATTGCTACCTATTTCCAAAAATTTATCTTAAAAGATAATAGAGACTATCTGGAGAGAATTTTAAAAACAAGAAAACCTATTATTTACATATCCAATCTCATTCCAAGATGGACAAAAAGATCCTGAGGTATAGTCTCCCCTGTTTCATCAGTGTGACTTCTTAAACAATGAGCTGATTTAGAAAACATCAAGCTAAAGAATAAAGAAAAAATGTGGTCATCACCACCTTTATTTGCCAAACTGCTTTGCAGGCTACTCACCCTCACTGGGGGGCTCCAAGCTTGCACCCGAGGCTGCTGTCCACCGTGGGAGCTCTGCTGATCTTTTGAGCTACAATTAGCCACAGTGCTGCTCTGAGCCCTTAATGCATTTGTGCAGTTGGTCCCACTGCCCCCACCAGGGCCAGGTTTCCAAGGCCTCTGCTTGATGCCATCCAGAAGTCTGACCAGCAGGATGTTACTGGGAAGCTCCTCGACACCCGAGCCAACGAGAGTTCGGCACTCAGGACATCTGAGTTCATTTCGGGAACCCACAATACCCAGCAAACATCGTTTGCAAAATGTATGCTGGCAAGGCAAGACCTTTGCAGAAGCATCGAGGCGCTCTAGACACACAGGACACTCCAAAAGATCCAACAAGGCAGATTCATCCATCTTTATCTACTTTACTGAGAAAAAGGCTTCAGAAATGTTCATAGTTGTGCTCATCCCTTAAAATGATTCATGTAACATCCATCTCAGACTTTGCTCTAGAATTATGAGGAGAGAGGGGAAAAACATAAAATTATAATGTGATTTGGGGAAAGAGTTCACAAAGGAGGCCAAGAACCAAAAAGTACACAAAAGTGCTTCCTCTGAATAGTGAGTGTAGTGTTGCTTTGGAATGTGGTTCCTAAATTCCAAAGTCAACAATTAAAAACAAAATAGGCTTTTTAAATAATGCAGAATTAATCCCTAAAGATATCTAGAAGTTCAGAAATAGCTATCAAGTACTATACAGGATCCCTGCAATAAACAGAGTTTATGAAATGCAATAAAGAACATAATTTCTTCCACTCTGAAAGTGATACTGGCTGCCTTAATAAAGTCCTCAACTCATACGAGAAGCTGAACGGAAGCAATTGAAAGTTTCCTCTACCTGAAATTACTTCTAAATCCAACGAAGTTCCCAATTTTTAAGGCACTTTGGCGTTTAAGAAACGGTGCCTCATGTGATCGCCTGTGATAAATGATCCCAATATTAAATACATATGTTTCTTAAAAATAAAACTGTTTAAAAATAAAACTGATCTTAAAAATAAAACTGTTTAATCTTGCTCAAAAAACCCCAAAAGAGCTGAAGGTTGACAATTCTAAAGGACACAAGTAAAGATCTGCTTGAAAGCAGCTAAAATACAAAAGCACCTTTCAGGGCAGTGGTTGATAAACTCTGAAACGGATTTCTAAATGGCCTACCGTCATCCCATTCAGAAAATCTGGCAAAAATATCACCAAAAGAATTTGACAATGGAATGCGGGACTGAAAACTGTGAGCATAATATGAAGATGGGGCCATTGAGGAAGAAGCATTTAAGCCACTTACTGAGCCGCCATCCTCCCACCACCCACCAAAAATATAAATGTGAATGCCCAGGAGAAGGCGGGTAAAAAGATCGGATGGAAGCACGAACAGCTGTTCCTGACAAAGTCGGCCGGGGGCACCGGGCTGCGCCCCTCTTCCACGCCGCCCAGCACAGGTACGCCCCGGCCCCGCGGGGAGGCGCGGCGGCAGCTCGCCGCAGACACACCCCGGAGCCAGGTGTCGGCGGCACAGGGCAGGGGACGATCCCGGACCGGGGCTGAGGCCCAGCCGGTCCTGGAATGGGGACTTCATTTAACAGCCTCATCTCCGCCTCTTAGGTCAGGCCGGGGACAAAAATCCCCCCACACACGACTGCTGGAAGTTTTCAAGGACTGAAAAATAAATGCGCAGCCTTAAGTTGCGAAACTCAGCCCCACCATGTGCCACGGGGAAACAGATCCACCACCTCACAGAGACGAGGCGAGAGTCCCCAGAGACCGCGCCATCCGGGAACCGGGGTGCTGGGCTGTGCCCGGGGAGACCGCGGCACGGAGCCCGAGCAGCTTTCCGCCCGGAGAAGGCAGAGAGGCCACGGGCCCCGGTCCCTGGGGCCCAAGGGTGAGGGGACAGAAAGACTGACCAGTGCGGGGGTCAGCGGGACGTCCTGCCCACCGCCTCGTCCGCGGCGAGGGTCCACGGAGGCCGGGGCCCCGCGCCAGCCACGCGCCCTACCTCGCGCCTCGGCTCCTCCTCTTTGTTCGCAGCCCCGCAGCGGCGGCGGCGACCGATGCAGATGCGGCCCCGCCG